ATGGGCAACCCAGCGTTCCTATACCCAAGCTTTGATAAAAAAAAAAAAAAAAAATTAAATTTAAAAATGCTAGGTCAAATTTGGCAAGTCTGAGTACCAAGTGTCCTTATGAACAGAGATAATTGCAGCTTATCTTGGCAATCCCACCTTCAAAGAGACACTTTATGTGAAAAAAATATTGTCCCATTTTTCAATTTGATTCACATTCACATGCATGTTGAGTCTATCTTTCACATTTACATGAATCTTTGGTTTTTCCATGGCTTATCTTGTCTAAGGGGATACAAATGATTTATGATTTTGGCTCCTCAGTGAATTTCTACCCTGTTCTTTAAAGAATACGCATTGACTCAGCTGTCAGGATGATTGCCATTTAAACAATCTCTTCCATTTCTTCTGCTTTGAACATAGTCTGATACAGACATGTAATAAGGAACTTCTTTCCCATAGCTTATCTGTAGGTCAAGACCAATGAAAAATTATATATGTCTGTTAATAAACAGTATTTCAGTTCAATGTGAATGGTGCTTATAAATCACTGATTTAAAGTTACTTTATAATAATAAACAACTACAGAGAAATACACTTGAATTGCATCAACTCAAGTAACTTGAATTCTGTATTATAAAAAGCATTAAAATATTTGTGCATCCTATATATCTGCTCAGAAATACCACTAAGTTCAATGGGAATTATTCTTAGATGATAGGAGTATAGGACTGTAGCCTTAAATAGACATTTGGAGTAATGTAATGAGCACCCTAAAGAGAGATTCTGCAACTGCAGCTAATGACCTCTCATGCATATATTAACGCCTTTGCTGAGGAATTTAGTAGCAGGACTGTAGCAGAATTTAGTAGCAGACCGGACTCTTTTCCAGTTCACTACTAAACTGGTTATAAGGTACATTAGTACAAACTGCCAAACAATGCAGGTTCAGGCTGTGTCAAGACACATCTCCCTGATTCCAACCTGCAGGGCCACTATGATACTCAGGGAAGGCCCTGCAGTCCCTGCAACAGCCCAGATTGGTTTGGTGATGTCACAGAGACGGGTCTTCTCTGCCATGGTGCCTGCCCTGCAGAATTATCTCCACTCCGAAGGGCAGTCAGCCTCAGCACTGGTGTGTTTTAAGCACATAGTAAAACTGATGTTTGCTTAGGCCTCCTCCCAGCCATAAGATATCTCTGCGCCACCTTATGAAATTACTGTGTGTGCATATATAAGAGTGTGTGGCCCTTTTGTTTGCTTTGTTTTTATTCTTTTGTAAACAAGCTTCAGGATTGCCTTTAAATACAAAATGGAACATAAATATTGTTTATAAATAAATAATCCCATGCATGCCTACTCAGAAGAAGCCCCTCTGTGGCCAATGTGGTACTCAGGTAATGTGTACATAGCTGGCTTTTGCATACATGTACAAGTATTTTATTTTGTGTTTAGTGATGCTCACCAATGCTTATTAACCAGATTATCACTCCACTTAGCATTTTTAAAGTATACGTTAGACTATTTTTGATTGTCAAAGTGGACATTTTAATCTTAATTGAAAAATATGATCGTAAAGCTATTCAAATAAAAAGGATAAGGTGCTAACATGGTAATTCTGATTCTAAACTGATAATTATATGATTTGCATTCTGGGCACTTATACTACTTGGATGTTTTTGAAAGAGAAGTATAACCTGTTCTCTTACAAGGGCTCAACAAGTAGAAGATACATATAAGGCACCGCCTGGTTTGTTACCTAAGTTTGCTATCTTACATGGGCAGCTCCATCCCTGAAGTTGCAGGAAAGCAAAAAAGAGAGAGAGAGAGAGAGTCCTTTCACCTACAATCTCTGGGAAACATGGGTAATATTTCAACATGCCCTACTGAGCCTGTGGAACTGAAATTGGCTACATATTTTAAGAATGCCAATGAAGGCAACCTTTTTCTGGTTATCAACATTTTATTTTCATACCAATAAGTCATTTTATGTAAGAGAAGGGATAAAAAGGGTCAAAACATTCCATTTTGGGATACTACGCTGGAAAGAATGACTAAGTCACAGTTGCAAAGAAATGCGGTAATAGCTACCACATTGAGCTTTATTCTATCTATATCCCTCTGATCCTCCAAAGGATCCAAGGAGATGCATGCAGTTACCTCTCCCATTTTTTATTCTCACAGCAATCCTGTAAATTAACCTGAGTGCCAGGTTCACTGAGGCTTTGAACCTGGAGTTCCCCAACCCTATATGACATTTTATCCCCACTCTGTCTATCAACAGAAAGAGCAAAAAGGAGGACGTATGAATATTTTTATCTGGGTCCAACTTTCTAAGAAGACGGGTGCCTAAGCTGCCTGAGTCGCCCCTTAGTATCTGCACAGCCACTGCTGCAAAGCGGATGGAGCCTTCAAGGCAAGCGCGCGCGCCTGCTCAAAATCAAGGCCCACCGCGCTCAGGTAACTAATGACCCCCAGGTAAGGACGTGCCTAACTCCGCAGCCCCGAAAGACATTCGGCTCGTCTTGCCCCCTCACGGGTATCGCCTTTCCTCACTGCCCATCTGCACCGGCGCACCCAAACATCAGGCACCCTAAGAAGCCATCCCTAAGCCACCGAGGCGCAGCCTACCTCCCCCGGCGCCGGTCACCAGCACCACCCGCCCGTCAAACCTCAACGGCGCAGACATGCTGCTACAGCCCCGGGGGTCTGAAACGCTGCTCGCTCCGCGGATCTTCCCTAGAACGAAGGGTAAACTGCGGAAAAGCCGGGCAAAGGGCAATAGAAACGACGCCTACTGACTCCGCCCCGCTGCACTCTGGGAACTGGAGTTTTTCGATGAAGGCGCTGCGGCGAAGGCGGAAGGGGCTTCTTTTCAATGTAACACACACGGACGGGTTCGGTGAGTTCCCCCCGCTGGCGGAGCTATAAGGCATTCTTTCTTCTGTCAGCAGCCGTAGAAATCCATACCCTCGAGTGTAACTGCAGTTGTGATTGCACAGGAATGTGTGTATTTCACGAAGTATTCACTGCAAAAGAGGGAATGTGTTTGCTCTTACTAACCCGGGCTTTTTTCGTGTAAAAACATCCCTACGTTTAGTAAAAGCACAAACATATTAAGCAATAGTTGATCCTTGTGAATTCGGAAACCTCCTGCTAGGAGTAGCCTCCGCATTATCTGTGAACTAAGCCAGTTACAGATGTGAGGTTGCCCTGCAGATATTTTGGATTATAACTCCCGTCCTCCTGAAGTCATGCAGACTGATGCTTATAGGAACTACAGGTCAAAAATCTAGGGAGTACAGGATTATTCATCCCTGCAATAGAAGAAGAAAAGGAGCAGAAAGTAATGAGAAGGGCGGAAATGTATGAATATAAACTTTCCTCTCGTTTGAGGCTTGAAACTCTTCACCCGCAAGCTGCCGAGTCCTAATGTAAGGAAGGGTGGGTATAGCTGTCGACAAAGTGGAAACGGGAACCCTCCCTCCAGCTTTGCTGCAGCGAAATGACAAGGATGATCAAGGTGTTTACAGCGATACCGAAACCACCGCAGTTGTATCTTTCAAATGGAGAAAGGGCATCTTGGATGATGGCGTGCCAGAACGTAAGGTAATTCGGTTGGTTGTAAAAGACCAACCAGTTACTGGGCATTTGGGAAATGTAGAACGCGAAGCACCTGGAGACGCCTGCTAGAGGCAAAGCTTGCGAAAGGGGAAGGGAAGCCTTCCTAAGTTAGGGCATCTACTGGGTCTCCTCTGTAGCACGGACGTTTAAAAGCAAAGGTTAACGTGAACACCCACCCCATATCCCCGCGACTTAGATTTTCTTAATGTTTAGTGGCATAGAAATAGTTCTGTAGATAGATGTTGCAAGGAGAAAAATCCCTGGGCTCAGAATTCCAACTCTATTTCTTCTAGACCTGGCTTTAGTCTCACGCTTCTCGTGAGAATGTAGATGTGGCAAGCTGACGTTCGACCACCTCTCTTTAAGAAGAAGACGCTTCCACCCAATAATTGCACCTATTTTCTTATCTTATTGACCAAAGTTTTCTTGACACCATCCTCATTGGTCTGCCACAGTCCCATAAGTACGATTTTTGCATCTAGTAGGTCTGTTTTTAATATTTAACTTCAATATTTAATATTTACTCTTCTCATCATAAGAACTGTTGATGTGCTTTCAGACTCAAAGATCAAAATATCTTACAGAGAAAAAGGAGGAGTTATAAAGAGATGGTTTTTATTATACTCCTAGGAATCTCTTCCACACAAAAGAATTAAACATCACTTGCAGATAAGCTGTCAGAGGAGAAAAAAACTAAAACCAAGGAGCAACAAGTTTCAAACCCAAGACAGGCAATACAGTCATTTTTTTCATTTACAAGATAAAAGTATGCATGAAGGCAGGCCTGTCTTCAGAAATAGGAGCTAATTTCTTATGAGGAAGAATTTGACACCTGCATGTATTTGGTCCAGCTAACTGGGCTTAATTAGAGTGACTAATGAGACTTAGAAGCTGCACAGAGGAGTTTTTGTGATACAAACTATAGGGGAAAAGCATATTTGTAATAAATACATGGAACAGTGTAAGCAATTCCTACAGTTTTGTCATCACTATTTCATTTAAAGTTGACTAGTTTGAGTTAGAAAGTACTTCTGGACTTCTTTCTGTTTAAGTTAAGATCTATATCACTACAAAAACCACTTCCCTCTTCAATTGATATCCACTCCTTTTATAAACACTGTTGCTGGTGGTCTAATTTTCTTTATTTCTTTCTCTATTATTTGTGACACACAGTGCTGTACTAGAAGAGGCAGGCAAGGCTACAGACTAGCAACACCAGCTTGAGGGGGCTGTATTCATTACCCCAGTTTCTTATCTACAACAGTACCAGAGATTAGGATAGGATGTGGCCATTCTAATTAACCAGCACACAGTCCTCATTTGTAGAAAGTGGCAGAACTCATGTTTATGACATAGTGGTGCAAACACCCATCAGATTTTTGTCTATTCAGTGGTGGGTGGAATATGCTTCATAGATACTTGCATGTTCCCATAATTTTGCCATTTAAGATAGATTCTACAGTTGCACACACTGGTAACACTTAAGGTAAGTAGAGTGTTTTTTGTTTTCTAGAAACAAGTGCTAAAATTAAATATATTATGTTATCAAATTGCTAAAGCCTTCTAGGTTTTATGCCCTGCACCCAACTGCAAAATAAACAAATGCATAAATTTTGCCAGTATTTTACTAAATAGTAACTTACACAATTTATTTAATCAAAAAGACATTCTCTACTGTGTTAAACAGTGAATTGTCATAATTGATATTAAAAAAGGATGGATCCTGAACTTTCATTCTTTCTCTCCTGAGTAACCAGAGGCTGGAAAAGCTCTCCATAAAAGAATCACATCCCTTCATTGAGACAGAAATGCTGAAGTTTGCCAAACCCATAAGTATGTAACGATTTCTTGAAATGCCTGAACCACTAGGACTGCCTATAGTAAGTGTGAGGGTGTTGCTAACTTAGTACAGTGTCCATAATGATAAATCATAAAACTTCATTTATTTCCATGGTTTCCTATTATTTGCCCCAAAAGCAACAGCAAGTCAAAGATTTCCAAAACACATTACAATTCATCAGTCAACAATATTAGGTGGGAAGTTGTTTTCTTGATTTGATGTCAACCAAGTACTGCATATTATGCAATACACATTAGAAATGCAAACTGGAAAAGGAAACATTTTGAGAAGTGCTTAACTCTCCTCTTACATAGGAGTGGCTCTTTCCCGTTTATTGCAAGAACCAAACTTTGCATGTGTGATGTTTAACATTTGATTCTTTAAATTTAATTTGCCCAAGACTCCCACATTGTGATAACATACTTGTTTTCTCTCATTAGGTTGGTTGCAAAGGACACACAGAATTTTGAAGCATGTATGAGACCTGCTACTGCAGTTTTCAGTTGTAAATAACGTTAACAGTTGTTAAACTTTAACGGCTTTAACATTCTTTGCTTACATATTCAGAAGCGGCTCCCACTGAGTTCACCAGAGGTAAGTGTGCATGGAATTGCAACCCAAATTAGGAAAAGTGGTTTAATGTTACAGCCATGTGTTGAATAGTTAATAAAAGGTTCATTTGGTCCCCGAGTGAATAAAACCATACAATTACCACATTATGCTTCAACAGCTCAAAGCATTGAAAAAGAATGGGAGAGAGAAGGGAAAGAAAATCACATTAATTCACTGAAATCTCCCTGTAGCTGCTACCTAGAAGTGAGGGTTGTATGTTCAGACAGCTTATTAATGCCTCACAAATTGTGGGGCAAACACAGATTAATACTGGCACTTTCTCAGGTACTATTGCCCAATTCTGAGTTCTTTTATACTTGGATCCATTGCATGTGATAAGCAGGAAAGCCATGTTTTAATATGTAACTGACTTGAGACAGTTCCAAGCATATGTAGAACAAGCATCCAAACTCTAAAGTGTTCAGTAGTTGATCTTAATTTAAAAAATAGAATTCAGAAACCCTGAAGTTCGGAATGTTAAAGTGCCAATGGGAGAAAAACCTATACTAATGGAGGTGGAAGAGAACAACAAATCAATCTAATCAACCCCAAGACTTTGAGGACAAGACATTAAAGAAGCAATGTCCTAAGACAGAAGGTAAGCAATACATTAATCAATAAAGGCTCCTATTTATATCTTCTGAGGAAATGCCAGCTACTATTATGTAAGAAAAACTGAAGAGAAGATACTGGAAGGAAAGTTACGATGACATTGGATAGTCATGATCAAAAAAACAAAAACAAAACAAAGCAATGGATATAGTGATATTGGATGCTTGGTTCTTAAAATCTGGCTTTTCAAGAACTGCATACAATTATTGAAAATCAGGAAGATGTTGTGGTAGATTGGTTTATTGCAAAGTCTTCTATGATATCTATGCCTGCACATTTTAGAGATTTTTTAAAAAGTACACAAATATCAAAAAGTAGCCAGAAATAACAGCATTTCCTTAGTAATTTAGGCAGCAAATCTTTCCTGCTAGACAGTTGCTGATTTATGGTATACTTTACTTAAGATATTCTATTATAGCTTTATTGCAGATAAAAGTAAAGTATAATCCTACTATATAGCTCAGAAATCATCCCATTGAGTGCAACTGAACCTATCTAGGCCATCTGTAGCGTCGAAGACAAGCAGAGTAATCCTCTGGTCCCTGAGAGAGCATCTCAGGGCTGACAGAATATGGTGCATTCCCACTTCTGAGATCACACTGCTCAGATGCTGAGAAGGAGGTTCCAAGATTGGACTGTGCTCCCTAGAAAGCCCAGGGTGGGTTGTCTGCCAGAGGACACCACTGAGACCACCCTCCCAAGGACCCAAGAATAGCTTGGGAGGGCAAAAATGTTGAAAGGTGGTGAGAGGGAAGAAGCATCTGTCTGCAGGATAATTCAGGTTCTCTGTCACAGGCCACAACAGGTAAGTCAGCTAGATGGATTCAGAAGGCAAGCTAGCTGGAAAGACTTTCTACACAGGAGGAACCCAAGAAGAAATTGCCTCTGCTCTGCTTGCCTTTTGCTGGCAGGGCTTTAGACACTTTTATCAGAAACCCAAATCATAGAATAGTCTTTCAAAAATGCAATCCATTCCGAATCACTTAGATGACAAAGCAGTCACACATTCCTCATGGTGTGATAGTATTTGAATTTTTAACATAGTTCTATTAGGAACTGCTCCAAGAAAACTAACTCAGGCCACCCTAAGGGGATAAAAAGGGAAATTTCATTTCTTCTGGCAAAACATATATCACATATTCTGCAAAAGCATATGGAAAAGTAACCACGCATAGCGGAAATACTGTATTCCAACCAATAGAGACTTGTCTAGCAGGGGCAAAAACAAGTTTGGCTTTTTAAATTTGCCCAAATTCCATTTTTGGATTTTTTGTACAACAGAAAATAATGCATAAAACTTAGAGTGCAAACATTTCTTTTGTTTACTCATTAAAGCATTGACAAATCTGGCAAATAAACAGCACAGGTCTTTATCATCAACTTCACCAGTTATTCTCAGTTGCATAAAGTAAAAAAGAATTACATTTTCAGCATATTTGTTTGAAATATCCCTATTTCACCTGATTATAAAAAAATAAAATAATCTTATGCCTCTGCAGGTACAAGATTTTTTTCCCCATATTTGCTATACATTAGGTTATACATACATCAGTTTCTGTTTAGAGACAATGTATACAAATTCCTGCTTACAGTTTCTAAATTTACCCATTAACAACCTAAATCTTTCTCCAGGGATTACTGTAGTTTATCACCTCAATCCAGATGAATATGTGCATCACATACAGACTGTGCATAAATGTTATTTCGGTCTTTTCTTCGAGGACTTGCATTCTACAGAATTCAGTGGGAAGCATTTTTAATATGCACATGAGACTGGGGGATTTCAAATGGGAAGAGGTCACCTACAAGTTACCAACATATCAAAACAAAACCCTTCATACTGAAATTAATGTTTGATCAAGCTTAATTGTTTCATGTAAAAAAGGTACTAGCAGGGATGGGGAAATGTATATAGGAGCTTCCTTTGATCATTTACTACTAATATACAGTTTTTACAGCCACACTTTACACTATTGCTATTGTAATTACCTGCAGTAATAGACTCAAATCCATACTGTCTGCTAAGTAATGCAAAGCCACTGTGCTACAGCTGAAGAAACCTAACAAAGACGCAGATGATTAAGAGCAGGTTCACAGGAGACAGCCTCAGGACAATTCCGTGGGGTGCATGCTTTGTGTTTGGTGCGCGACTGGAATGGGCTTGCCTGGGAAAACCACATTCGCATGGGAAGCAAAGAATAAGCACAGAGCAGTACCTTGAAGAAGTGGTGCTATCAATATAGGATTGTGGAGGTGTCAGTTCAAGCCAAAGAAGTGTGTTCAAATGAGCCTGGCTGTAGTCTCAAACCTTTCAGAGATGATTATCTGCTTCCTTACTTTCCCCCATGTGAACTAACAGAAATTGCTTTAACAGTATAGCTAAGCCAAATGACCCAAGTGTTCATGTATAGCATATATGGCTCTAAGTGAATTTCAGAGGTTCCTTTAAATTTCCAGTTATCTTATGTGTGCTATAGTCATGTTTCCTGAATATAAAAATACTGATCATTTGGTGGATTTATAAATATTATTCTACATATTGAAATATGCACTTTAATTACCTAGCTCAAACATTTCCCTGCCTATTATGTAAAGCCAGACTTCACTTGAGTAGTCCTGTTTCGTGGCTTAATTGCTCCACAGTTTAAAGCAAAGTACTACAAAACTGCAGAATTTTCTAAGCATCTGTTTAACAGCAAACATCTCCCGTATCACCTGATTTTTTAAGCCTTTCTTAATTCCTTCATTGTATCAATGAGATCATCAGTAGTCCTTAGCCTATGAATATACAGTCAGTCAATATGGATGCAGTTACTTATATATTCCCATCATCTAGCATTTTGTTGACACCATCACAGAGTCTCTGCAAGTGAGTCTTGTAAGAGCCAAATGGATTGTACAAGGCAGCCAAAAATTCACAATCTGAGAAGTGATCAAACACATTATTGACACGTCCATGAGATTTTGCAGTTAGGTGGCGCTGAATGATTTGATGAAGCAGGTCTCTGCAATCATTCAATAGTTTTGACAAAAAAATTCTGTCAAAGGTATAATCCACTTGATGGAAGCTCACCACGGTTTTAGCCAGCTGGTGCACCTTCTTCTTGAACTTCTCCATAAGTATGATCTCTTCCTGATTGAACTGGTTATTTCTGTAGAGGATTGCTAACTTGATAACAGTTTTAATGAGATTCTTGATTATCTTCTCTGATTCCTTCTTGTTTTGTATGTATTCTTTTGTCACTCTGTAGAGTTCATCCAACACATCACTGCTAGTGTCATCTATCAAAGCAGTTGCTATTGATTTGGAGGCCATTTTGCCCAGAATTTTCTTTTGGACCTGAATGGCCAAACTTTTGGAATTGAAGACATCTGTGGCCACTGAAAGGGAAAAAATAGAGTATATGTTAGTAAGTTTAACTCATGCAACATGATTTAAAATTAAAGCAATTTAAAATCTGATGTGCAAAAGAATTTATATTGCTACTTTAAATTGAATGCAATGATGCAGAACAGAAGTTTTTCTGGAAAACCAACATCACTGAAACAAAATTAGACATTTGTTTCAGGTATTTTCTATACAGAAACAGTAAATGCTTCATGCAGCCATCAAAATATGTTGATTTACAATGTACTAGAACCATTATATTCCTTAGGTGAGTACATTTAAGGTGTTCTACTTAGGAATTATTACTTTTTTTTTAGAGAATGCCACACAATATATTGTTTGTTTAAAATATAACCTAGGACTTCCCAGAAGTAGTAATGGTTATCACTAATTAAAGCAGTTTTTTTCCTCAGTAAATGTTCATATAGTTTAGCTGACAGGGTAACAACATCAGTAATTTGAGAATTCAGTAAGTTGCAGAGTGTACAGAAAGCACAAAAGAGGACTATTTTAATCCCAGAGAATGTAATACATTGCCTTGGGTGGAAAACAAGATTCTTTTTCTTTGAGCTAAGTTTTCTATTTCTAGGTCAATGCTGATACTTGTGTCTGGACCTTCAGATCTATGGCAGAAAAATCTTGTGGAGGAGAGAAGTCCAAAGATAATTGGGGGTGGAGTGGTCAGTTTTTACACCCTCTGCAGCAGTGACTTCTTGTTTTCCATTTTCCTTCCCATTACTTTCAATGTCATTTTCCAATATCCAATACATAAATACCCCTTTTTCTATGTGAAATTTTTTTTAAAGATACATGTTTTGAGGTTAAACATTAAAACAGGACATAACAGTACTGTCCTGTTCAACAGGTGGTCTCTTTAATCCCTAGATCTTTTTACATGTACTGCTGTCAAGCCAGTTATTGTCCATCCTGCATCTGTGCACCCATTTTGCTGTGTTGTTTCCCATTCAAGTTTGATGCGCACCTTCTCTGCTCCTTAAAGTAAGTTATAAAAATGTCAAACAACAAAGAACCTAAGACAGAACCCTGTGAATTGGTTGTAACAAGAAGCTACTGGAGTTGGTTTTCCTTGGGGGGTTTTTCATAATGGTACTAGACACTGCATTGAAAATTTAAGCCATGGTGTAAATGTGCCACTGTTGTAATATGCAAACCAACAGTAATGTAATAAATAAAAAGATAAAAAGTTAGTCCAAATATAATTTAAAAGAATTTGACAGTGAGAAAGCTTGAGATCTATTCTTATCTCTGATGCTGCTACTGCTATATAGACATTGGAGGCACAGTGCTCCCTAGCTGAAAGTGCGATGAAACAACCTATCTGAAGAAGGTGCTAAACCCACACGTGGTCTGACCATGCAAAAGTAGAATATCACTTCATTAAAAACAAATCCAGCTAACTGCATGTGTATGGATTTGCATGGGTTACATCCCAACTAAAGTCCCAAGGACTTCATTGGACCTACTCTTGTTGTTTAGCAAAGTCGTGTCTGACCCATCACGACCCCATGGACAACATTCCTCCAGGCTTTCCTGTCCTTCACCATCCTCCAGAGTTCACTTAAGCTCACACCGACTGCTTCAGTGACTCCATCTAGCCACCTCATCCTCTGCCATCCCCTTCTTCTTTTGCTGTCAATTGTTCCCAGCATTAGGCTCTTCTCCAGGGAGTCCTTCATTCTCATTAGATGGCCAAAGTATTTGAGTTTCATCTTCAGTATCTGGCCTTCTAAAGAGCAGTCAGGGTTGATGTCCTCTGATCAACCAATCTCCTGATTGGTTTGATCGCCTTGTGGTCCAAGGGATTCGCAGGAGTCTTCTCCAGCACCACAATTCAAAGGACTCAATTATATTTAGATCCAACCTTCAACATCTACTCATGTGAGAACATACTGGTTGAAAATAATGGCTGGAACTATGACTTTATTACCACTTCAAAAACTACATCTGGAATACTGCTATAGATCAATTTCTGGAACTTGGAATATGCCTGAGACAGCTTACTAATGTTACTAGGCACAGGCAAAACAGTTTATTCAACTCTTGGATCCTTTCATTGTGTCTTCTAATAGCCAATTATCACAGATGAAGCTACTCAGATACCAGAAAAACTACTATGATCCAACACAGTTGGCGATTTAAGCACACCAGCTGTGATCAAACAGTGTACACACACACACACGTGTGTGTGTGTGTGAGAGAGAGAGAGAGAGAGTGCTCTAATGTGTGTTTAAATATGTGACTCCAGTAGGGTGCTGGCCAATATAAGCAATGACTATGCCGTTTTTATGATCAATATAATCAAGAGAAATTTATGCCCCACTGGAAGTCCCAATTGTCTAATTAGCTGTTCTAAAACAGTTCTCCAATCAGTTGTCTCATACAAGGTGACATACAATAGCTTTTCCTTTCATATAGTCATTTATAAGACGGCTTGTGTTTTCAATAATGTTACTTTTACTACCACAGATTCTTAAAAGTTGCCCCCAAATTAACAACATTCCATTGTGTTGGAGAACTAAGCTAAGAATCCAATGTGAAAGAAATTACCACAAGCAGGAAGACAAATTAGCTGTTTGAAATGTGAGAAAAGCTGCTTTATGTCATGTTTATAATTACTGCTTCTATTCTTCAAGATGTCAACAAGCAACACAAGTTTAGATCTTTCCAGAAAATACCCAAATAATCCCAGAAAATATTTTTCTAGGCAATTTCACATTTGCCCTGTAGTGGATTGTAGTGATTTTGTGATCCAACAATTGGGCTTGGGGGAACCAAAAGCAATCAGAAGGGTATGCAATCAGAAGTGCCTGGCAAGTCCTGAAAAGGGTAGAAGTGGAATTTGGGGAGCTAAAATGGCTAGGAAGGGTTTCCCATAGTAATGCACCAAAAGCTGTGGAAGGATGACTCTTTGAGTTTGGAAAAATTAATGGTGTGGTAGAGGGTGTGGTAGGTATATCAAAGCATTGAAGAGAGGGAGAGTATGTTACTGTAAGATGAATCTTTTATATAAAAGAAGACTTCAAAAAACCTCTCTAGAGGTGGTTCCTTTATTCCGGGAAAACAAAATCACATTTTCTTTCATACCATGGCTGTGCTGAGAAAGGATTCAATTTGTCTTGATGCACAGGCTGCCAGTATTTTCTCCAAGTGTGAAGGAAGGCAGCCTTTCTTCAGCAAGCTATAATCAGTGCTAAGAGCAACTAACACACATTTCAAACTTGGTGCATAAACAAGTGGTAAGCAGTAGGTAATGCCATGGAGCAATGGCACTAGCACAGTGCCACAAAAGTGTCTGGCATATGGGGAAGAAGCAGGTGAAGGAGAGAAACAAACAACTCGTGAGATTTAGAAAACCCAATTTTTGAAAATCATCATCTAGTCAAACCCTGGGTAGGGCAACTAACCATGGACTGGCATTATGTGCAAACTAGCCTTGCGTGTTCCAGGATTGAGCCCTGGCGAGCTCCACTGCTGGAGTTCAGAAGGCTTTTCTTAGCTTTTGTATTGCAATATAGTAGCTTCAGTTCCTTGAAAAAAAAGCCTACTAAAAGAAAATGCCACTGCTGAATAACACAGTTAATTCCTAGAGCATGTAGCAGCCAACAAGTGGTGAGAGAGAATACAGCAGGAATTAATTTAAGTGCTTGCTACAGCCAATTCAAATTCCACTAAAAATAGTACCAATGATTCTGAAATAGGTTTGAAAATCTTCCCTCAGAAAGAATCCCCCTCCTTCAGCCATCAACCAGTCATCTGTACAAGCTCTGTACAGAGAGAGGGGGAAATAGAGCTATTCCACCAGCACTACCGAAACATTCTTTTTCCTTCTTGTCCTTTTCTTTGAATGTTGTGTCTTTCTATTATCTTAATTTACTGATTACATATAAGTTACTGGGGGAGCCCTTTCTACTGGGAAAGGGGAAAATGCTTTCAATGAGCCAACAAAAATATATAGTTTTTGCTGTTAATTCTAGTCTTTTGGTTTTCATGTTTGTTTGTCTTCTTTAATCTGTTTTATGTAAGCCATTTTCATTGGTTTTACAAAAAAACAAGGTTTAATTATTAAATTAAACTTGATAGGTTAAGCGATAAGTTGCCCTTGTGAATGAACAATCAGGTTCCAGAGCTTTCATACAACTTCATATAGTCTCAACACTTTTCAAGTGAGGCAAGTCCATGTATAAACTAGTCCTAAAAAGTTAATATTACTGATTAAGTGGATGAGTCTAAGGACAATGGGCAGTATTAGACAATGAAATGGACAATGGACACAACAGTTGAAAAGTGTAAGACTGTGTCACATATCAAAGGAAACTGACGTTTGCTTAAAACAATGAAGTACAGGTAGAGGGACAACCATACACAACACTGGGTGGTCCCTCATTCCACAGAGGGGCTAGACTACAGAGTTGTCAGCTATGAAGTAAGAGAAAACACAGGTATGTAGGGCTATTACTTGCCTAAAAGGATTATTGCACAGTGAATGTGATATGAGGGAGATCATTGCCTCAAGATTGATGTATCTGTAGTTTTATTACTACAGGAGAGATTCCAAAAATATCCCTGTGCTAAAAAATCGACTTGCAAGCCAACACATGCTGAAGCTCAATAATAATTGATGACAAGTTTAAAAATGAAAACATTTAAAGTTTACTAACATAGAGAAACAAATAAACAAAGTATGATCCTATCTCTGAGCAGCTGGCAGTTCACCAGATATGAAAGAAAAGTCAAGGCAAGAAGGAATAAACTCAGGAAATAAAACATTCTGGGGCAAGAAGGACCAACAAGAGGGTAATGCATTTGGACAGGAACAGTTTACAGGAGAAAAAAATAGTAGATACAAGGATGAGATAGATATTGGGGGGTGGGGAGGAACACTGCTAAAGGGAAAGGTGGAATTCAACAAAATCTGAACTGAACTAGGAAAACAACAGTGAGAGGGGTGTCATTAACAGCCACAAGGCAAAGAAAAATGCACCCCAGTCTCCCCTCACTTCACTGCTATAAAAACAGAGGGATCTTAACCAGATGCAGTCAATTCTTGTAATGGGTTTAGGATAAAATCAAAACTTGTCCAATATCACACCTTAACATGGCTCAGCAGGGGGCGTTCTAAGAAGCTTGAAATAAGAGAGAATATTATTCCCTAAGAATGAACTTTGCTTTTTAAGAATGCTTCTTGATTTCAGGGATGTAAGGAAACAGTTTGAACTCATGGTTAATGGAGACCTAACAGAAACCAAATATGAAGAGATCTCTAACTGCTACATTTACCCCATTAAGCAAAATGACATTTAAATCATTCAGGGCTGACAACACTGGCCCTTGGATGAAACATACCAATCAAACAACCACCACCATTATTACTTTTCTTCTGTTTGATTGGATATTTTTACACTCTAATTAGATCTATGCTGGGATTTTGGCTTTTTGTCTTGCATTACGGTCTAGAGATAGGCTAACTAAACCTCATTTGTGAATATTTTCTGGACCGTAACAACCAATGGTGATCAAAGTAATACCATACATTCAAGCATGTTTAAAACATATGTATTCAGTGATGCCTCTGTGGTATAACCAGCCTCCTACTCTGCATTAACTTAACCGCACTGATATATATTTTTATATTTTAAACTTGACTTTATATTCTACATTGTTTGCTTATATAAAAAAGAGAGCTATCCATACATGTGTACATAGCTCACATGATCTGTTTATCAAATGGCTCACTTACATATTCCCAACATCAAAAAGAAGGCATGCCCATGCTTCCAACATTATTCTATACCATTTCCCCACCCTTTGCAAAAAGGGAGAGAGAACACCACCAAAGTGGCATCGTATCTTGGAAGATCAAATAAGGGGACATTTACACAGGAAATGATGACAGTTTCTATCTGAACCACATCTCCTGTAGCCTATCCTTTTAACAGCAGTCAGATCTGCAGCAACTGCTGAGTAAAAACAGCAAGTTCCATTCCATCCAAAGCTTAATCTACTGGTTTTGGCTTATAGTGTATTGCACAATATTCATTTCCCACCCTTTTAGTTTTCCACATTTTTTTGTGTTACAACCTGGAACAGAAATGGATTAAATTGGCATTGTTACTACCTGATGTACACAAACTGCTCAGCACTGTGAAATATTTTTGTTCTGTCAAAAAGATTAAGCAAAAACAA